AAAAGAAAACAAGCTGGGTAGACATGCACAAACACCTGACAGATAATCACACGAATCTATTAAACGGTTTCCTTCCTACCACGGCCGGCGTAGAAACAGCCGAATCCACGCTGAACTCCCCAACTGAACGCGCTAGATCGTGCTTCGCCAGCCCCAACCTAGAACCGGGCCCCGCTTTGCCCCACCTGAAACCACCGCCTGCTGTGGGAGTCAACGGGAAAGAAAACCTCCTGCTACTGCTAGACCCCCTGCTGTCGGGTGTACCCGGTAACCTCTCCCTGGGATTGCTGTTGGCCCTCGACTTGGCCCTGGCCGAGACGGTGGGGGCCATGTAGCTGGGCACGGAAAACTGGGGGCAGCTCATGAGGCTGTCATTGTCGTCCTTCATCGGAGAAGGAGTGCAGGGACGGTGGGCTCTGGCGGGGCCCACGGCTGCAGACCGTGGGGTCAGGGATTCACGAGGGCTTGGCCTGTGTTGGGAAGTGGGCCCCCTTGGAGGAGGGGTCGAGGGTGCGTTTCTCGGAGTGGATTGGCTGTGTGGGGGAGCGCCTGATTCGGGGAGCTGCTGGTCTAGCCAGTTCCACCACCGGGTGTCGAGAGGGCTGTGGGCTGATGATTTTGGGCTGGCTTTCCACAGCTGTATTTGTCGGGCACAAGTAGGATAAGAGGGAATTAGGACAAATGATAATTTAAAATGTGTGCTCAAATTCTATTATATTTCATAGAGTTAGAAACGAAGGTTGTCGGCCGACTCTGGTTCTCGTCTCGGCTAAAGATCTCAAATTCCTCCCATTCAAGAATAATATCTTTTCCAATATAAATCAATCGAGTACCATTTGCTATACACTGCAGGCGAGTCTGTATTCCAAGTTCTAGTTTTAGATTTTGAAACTTTTGAATCAGTTCAAGATGATTAGTGAAGTTTCCGTTTTAAAAAATTTGAAATTTATTTGGTAATACGATGAGCGAAGGTTGATTTTCATGGTCTTCGGTTTGTTCGTTTACGCAAGGAGAGATTATCACCAAAATCAATATTAAGATAGATCAAATACTAATCAATTTTATCAAATGAAAATGATTAATTAGCGAATCTTGATTGCAAAAGTTCAACCAGTTGATTTGTGAATCAAGAACTAGATTTACAGTTCAAACTTTCCTAGTGTTTCGTTTCAATAAAAAGAGGCCTACTCCTTATAACTCGCCTAAGGGCCCGAAAATATTAAGCTACCCCCTGCCAAGTATTCCGACTCCGTACATGATGACGTGATAATATAAAAACAAGTAACATGGAGAAGTTACAGTCGGACTACAGAATTTGACAAAAATCAGGAATGAGGAATTAGATGAAGAAAGAGAGGATGAATCTTTTATTTTCCGTTTTAACTTTTACCTGGTGAGAGTATGCAAATGCCATGGCTCTTTCTCTTTTTATAAGTGCCTCCACTTTCTTCTGTAGCCTTGCTTCTACTTCCTCTTTTGTCAACAAGCTATCATCCCAATCCTCATTCTCAGACTACAAATAAAGAAGGCATATGCTTTTCATTCATATAATCGAGTATTCATGATTGAACATAGATGCGAAGGTTCACGGGATGACTATTTAAGGAAAGGGGAAAAAATGTATGGGGGTTAAGAATATTGTTAAACCAAAAAAAAAGAGAAAAAAAGCGAGACATACAAGTTGGTTGGTCCATTTACTGAGGGTACTCTCGAGATCCTTATTACGGTTCCTATAATAATCATGGCGTTGGTTTTCCAACATTTGGACCCTGCGTGACTGGATTTGTGTCTGAACCCTCACCAGCAGCTGCAACTGTTTCATGGCATTCGCTGTCTGCCGCTTCACGTTCTGGCTCCTCACCACTTCTTGGAGTCTCACTAAACCCCTTATAGCTCTAAAACTTCTTCTTGCCTATAAATAAAGCATTCATTAGTCGAAAAGATAAATATAGTTATATAACAACAAAATACCACTCACGTCGATTTCCTAACTTCAAAGAAAGATGTCCATTTCTTAAGCCGTAAAATTTCTGCAGATGAGACTTGGTTGACATGGAACCGGTGCTATCGATATGAACCATAAATAAATGCTTTCCACAATTTCACCAAAGATTTGATTTCAACACAATGGAAAAACCTCTTAAAGGATTTTGGAATGGAACACCCATAATACATACAGAATTAGAGAAAGTCCATTACCATGTAACCCCTGAAAGCAGCCTGGATCTTCATAGCTGATATGTGTTGGTCTCTCAAAGTGGGCTCCGGCCTCGGCACATTTCTAATTTCCTTTATATTTTTTGTTGTCGCCTTAGGAACAGATGCCTTTGGAAAAGAAGAAGAAGACGGGACTTCACTCGTTGAAGCCTTCAAAGGAGGAGGAGGAGGAGGAGGAGGCGGAGAAGCAGCTTTCGGGGAAAGAAATTTGGGCAACACCGGCAAAACATGTGGAGTTGAAGAAGAAGCATTTGTATTGGCAGTATTAGTACCAGTTGTATTAGTATTGATATTTCTAGTAGTAGTAAGAGTATTAGTTATAGTAGGCCTAATAAGCAGCTGATCAGCTTCCCCCAAAATCTTCTCGATGCTGCTCGGCTCTCTAAACAGGGGAATCAACGATTTGCTTTTTTCAGCTCTAAAAAATCCTTTGCCTTTCTTCTTTTCTTTACTGTCCTTGTCTGATCCCTGATCACACACATGATACCGTAAGCGAATTACCTCGGAGATCATTATATGATGTAATCTCAATTTCGAAATACTTTACAAAAAATTTAAAAAATTACAGCATTCACGTTTTTCTCCAACTAACAACCACTTCAACACATTTTTTCACAAATATCATCAACTCACTCGTCATTCTTACAAATTTCAAAATAATTTAACTATTCGACCACTCACGTGTCTACAACAAAAAAATCAAATCAAATAATCAATTTTTACTACTTTTCACAGCAAACCAATCTTAATAAACACGGTTTCATCTCGCATGTACCCTTCACCTAAGATCTTTGTTATTCACTATTCCCTAACTAAACAAAATATTTTCAAATCAAAAGTAAATGCAATTGCATTTTAACCTTCTCGAAATAAATAAATGTAGGAGTTACTTACATCGGTTTGTTTGTTCTTTGAATTGCGTGAGAAAACCCGTTTGATGGCTGAAAACCAGCTCCCCTTCTTCCCCATGTTCTAAGCATTACTATGCGATCAACCTCTTTGAAAACAGCTAATAAAGTGAGAGCTGACAGTCTATTATAAGTCCCTACAAGCCAACAAGTATGCTCAATTTCCAATCTATAGCTTAATAACTCCTACAAACTTCAGTAATAAAAATTAAAAACAAGATACAGATTCTGAATAAGAACTTTCATGAGCATACTAGTGTCCCTTACGATGAGACGTACGAAGACAGTGATAGCCACATAACCGGGAATTAATCAAATTGGGTTTTGCAAAAATCATTTGCAGTTTGAGGGTTTCACTGAAAAATTTCAAAGTGGACAAGAAAGGACCAAAACAGGGATACAGAACAGAACACTTTCAATTCAAGGGCGAGCTAAAGATAATTAAAAAAAAAAAAATCCCAGAAAATAAATTATTTATAAGATTTTTTTTTTCATCACTGGATTATGAAAAAGAACAAAAAACCAACAACCAAAAAAAAAAATTAAAAATGAAATTTTCCTGCAAAAATTTTCATATCCCAAGAGATCCCATGTATGTATGTATCACCACATGCAATCAAAAATTTCAATATACAAAGAAATTTATCACCTTTTTTCTGGTGCTCCCAATCTTCAGAACCCTTCAAGATAAATTAAAAACAAAAAAACAGAAGAACATTTTTCTCTCTCTAAACATACAGGCAGGCAGCACATATAGCTGTGTATGGAGAAAGTTTCTCTCTCTAGCCCCTTAAAAGAGTCTACCCAGCGTCTTTGGTCTCCTCCATATCTCTCTCTCTCTCTCCCTCTCTCTAAACTGCTAGACTTTTCACAACTCTGTGTGTGTGTGTGTGTGTGTGTGTGTGTGTTTTAAGCTTGTAATTAGGTTCTTGCTTGCTAAAGTTAGCAACTTTTATTTTATTTTTTGTTTTCCTCTGCAGCCCACCTTTTAGCTCCTTCTCTTTTGATAATATTATTACTTCTCTCTCTCTCTCTCTCTCTACAGCATGATGATGGTTCATGAATCATCATGATGATGAAAAATGAAAATATATTTATTCTATCATTATTTTCCCTGAAGTTGAAATATCCAAATCAAGGAATAAATTAGGGGGTGTCTATATGTACACTCCTTGTGTGTAAAAAAGGGGTGTTCATATAGCATTGCCCATAAATTATCTTCAACATTTTTTTTCCACATTACTAAAATATATGATATTAGTCCCTACATCAGCCAAGGCTTATCAAAATAATATCCAAATTGAGTTCATCGATTCTAAAATTTGATTTTTGATGGGGGGATTTTGGTTCATTTTTCTAAGATATTTCAAGTGTTATATGTCTTTCGAAGAATATTTGGAGCCCACTTTTCAATGTTCTTTTTGTAGTTTTATTCCATTCTAATTTATTTTCTTTGCCGAAATGATAGAAAAAGTTATAAATCAAAATGCACAAATGTACGAATTACATAGTTCCTAGCTGAATAAAACAACCAACAGTTGAAAAAGTGGGAGGACATGACAAAAGCTCGTCTAGAATCCCCACTAGCAACGCTAGAATAAAAACACTTGCAACTACACCAGCAACAACGAAAACTACTAAACAAAAGATCCCACCAGAATAACACTCGAGTGTTCGATCCCAACAAGATAATAATTTGATACTCGGGCTCACAGAGGTCAACAGCCCAAATCAAATGCACAAACTTAAACAACATAATCACAAGCACAAACACAAAGAGAAACCTAAAATAAAAACCTAATCTATAGACACACAAAGCCATTTCCTAGCGGGATAACCAAACCAGCACAAGGCACCAGCGAAATAAGGACCAATCACCCTATAGCTTGACCCGAAAACTGGAGCACCACTCCCGCCACTGTCTAATGCCTAGCAAAGGACGAGTCTCAAGCATCGAACCACTCTAAGGATGAAGCAAACCCACAGCCAGAGGAGGTTTCGATCAGCC